TCCGCGACCCGAAAGGAGAAGCGGCGATGGAAGATGAAGATGAAGGCTGCTATGTTTCAGCAGAAATTCAAACTAAGTAGTAAATGGCAGCGAGGATAAAACCATAGACAAAACTGTGAACAGAGCTGCTTTAGCCTAGTTATTGTACAACAGTCGTAGCATAGAAACGAACTAGATTTATTTGGTGTTTTGACCTTTACGATTGTTCCAAGCCGTCAGCTGAAATCTGTAAATGAATTAGTAAATGGGGCATCTAATATTTTTCAAGCTTCAGGGTAGTTCAGGTAAAAAAGTTGAAGTTCTCCAAACTTGGAACGGGCTTCGGCATTGTGAAATTTGGCAGCTGCTCTAGCCATGTCACATGTGGCTGAATGCTGTCATCAGTCTTCGGTTCTAAATCGCTTCGTCGTTGATCACTGCAGTCATACTATCTCCGATTGCTTATATGTTAGTTTCCCGTTGCTTATCCCAATATTTGAGGGTTGCTTGCTAGACAGACTATCCTTCTGTCCCTTTACTTACTGTTTGTTGCTAATATCTTATTCGTGGATTCTGATTTTCAGAACATTCACTTTTTTCGGAAACCAAAATTTAACCATACTCAGTAGGCTGCTACCAACTATAGCTTTTCCATGAGTACGCACTGTTTGTGATTTATAACATCCGCTAATTTCTGACCATTTCAACATCTTTGCTGTAAAGCACTGGTTGCTACACCGTAGAAGGAAAAACTATCCAAACGCAGATCTGTCTTTACCCCGCTTCTCTGTGCTGTCTCTACCCCGCTAGCATTTTGGACAATGCCTGCCGAGTTTCGGTTTCCACTTTCATGAGTTAAAGTGAAGGGTTGATGTTCAGTCACTCTATTTAGTTAACCAACGGGTGAAGCTTGAATTCAGTAGCTTTGGGCGTATGCGAAGCGCAGTGTTTAAATGCTTTTAATTTGACTGTCAGTGTTTCAGCCACACAACACTCACGTTAAATACATGACAGGCAAATAAAGGTCTTACATTAACGAGAATCACTGCAGGTAGCTTCTATAAGTGTTCGAGACAGTCCTCAACTTTCAGCGATGTCAGAAAAAGGCTATGAGGTCATCGAACTTACTTTATTAGCTGGGATTTACTATTACTTTTTATCAATAACTTGCTTTATTTTATCATGATCGAGAAGGTTCAAAATCATTTTGTTAATCTTTATATCTATTGAGGATGTATGCATCAAGCAAAATGAGAGTCATTTTTTGCATGATTCAGCCAGTCGAAGTCGTCATTCTTTATGTTTCTTTGGCTTAGTAATCTCTGTGCCGTACAGCAGCTTTTACCTGGCTGAAGCTAGGTACCGCCATAAAGTCAGTAGTTACTGTCCACTGCAGTAGTAAGTTGAATTCAGTAGGGGTGTGATTGAAAGTGATATAAGTTTGAGGACTCCAATATTGGATACGCTAGCTGAAACATTATAATTAAGGGTCTCTTTCTATTATTTAACTGTAATTTACAAATATAGTAGATACAGTAGTGTCATTGGGGATGATGAAACTGGTACTTAATGAGTTCCGATATCCCTTATGCATGTAGAAGCAGCACCGTGGAGATGCAAGAATGATGGATATTGGATGTATAGCGGGACTGATCCGGCATAGATCAAGTTCACTGTACCTCAGAAAAAGTTTTATGGCGGCACCTCTGTCTTCATTAAAGTACTTCAAGATACGTGCTTGCGTATTTCTGTATATTTGCTATGATTTTTAAGATGAACGATTCTAAAAGTACTATCAGAAAACAGACGTTCCCGTAGAATATCTCCCATAAGGTTTCTACGGTCTGTTTTAACACAAGTCTTTGTCAGCGAATCAGCGGGTAGAATTTCTGCTGCCTTGAAAGTTTTGCTACTGTGCTGTTGACAGGAGCGTGTTTCTTTACATTGTATGTGCTTTGGTTTAGGATCTGCAGAAGGAATTCCAGAAATGCAAGGAAAGCCAAAACACTCGACTGGACTTGAGCTCTTCCAATGTATGTTTCTTTCCTTTGATTTCTTCGCAAGTAAGTTCGAAGCGCTTTTTCAGATCAGTTCAATTCCGAGCACCATCAAAGATCTCGTTCAGTTGACCGAGTTGTTCTTGTATAAAAATAAGCTGACGACGCTGCCGCCAGAAATCGGCCATTTGGTAAATCTGAGGAAGTTGGGACTGTCGGAAAATTACTTGACGTCGTTGCCGGACTCTCTGGCGTCGCTGATCGAGTTGCAGGCGATTGATCTCCGTCACAATCGTTTAAACGAGGCAAGTAATGTTTATGTTAATTTTATTCTCAAGTCCCTCAAGTCTTAATTCGCTTCTTTTGTCAGTTTTAGTTATCATGCGGAGGCTATTTCCTTTGAAGATTATGTATCTTTAAAAACAGAATATTTTATGCCCGAATGCACTTTCGAGTGGGACGAATGCTACCGGATGAAGCCGCATAATAAGATTATTATATGCAAAGTCTTCAGTAGTTCAGACCACAGTTGATCCCTCTTCAGAGAGTGATAATAGTACTTCCTGAAAACGTATGAAGTATTATCGGAAACATCAGAGACATTTATGTAATACAAACTAGGTATATTCCTAGTCAATTTTATGCCGTTTAAAATGTCATGTAATGAGAACTTACGGAACAATATATATCGAAATAATGGTTTTTCTCATTCCACAGTTGGCAGGACGGAAAGCGTAAAAAATAAACAAAGTAATTTGTAAGGCTGATGTTTTTCGTGTTGTCAACCATGGAATCGAAAAAGATTTTAGCTACAGATTTAGAAACCTCTTTCAATGTCTAAAGGATAAATTTTGGACGTAGAACTTCATTAGAGAACTTTGTTGTTCGAAGCAGAATAACGCAGTTTTATTGTTTACAGATTCCTCATGTGATATATGAAATTACATCGCTCGAAACGCTGTGGTTGCGCTACAACAGAATAACATCTGTGGAGGAGAAAATAGGCAATCTTAGTGTAAGTATGACATGGGGAAAATCATCTCGCTGCTATATTTAGCTGTTTTTCCAGAAACTTAAAATGTTGGACTTGCGGGAAAACAAAATTCAAATGCTGCCAGAGTCCGTAGCATCGTTGAGCTGCCTTCTGGTCTTTCTCTTGTCTTATAATCATTTGCATAGTGTTCCTGCAGGTATAATTTAAAAAAATAAAATTTCACCAATTTATCAGTGTGCTTTTTAGACATTGGGAACTGTACAGAACTGACACAGCTCGATTTTCAACACAATGAATTGACAGAAATCCCGGAATCCCTTGGAAGCTTAGTGAATCTGACCCGCTTGGGGCTGCGCTATAACAAATTGACTTCCATTCCGGCTTCGTTGGCGAAATGTGTAAAGCTCGAGGAGTTCAACGTCGAGGGCAATAATTTATCCCGTTTACCTGTAAGTTAAATTACTTGTCAGTAGAAAGGCATTCTGAGTTTTCGTCATGTTGCTTAAAATCTGGTTTTTAATGCTTACTGCAAAGAATGGGCGACGAATCTAGTGGGAGAGCTGTTGACATCGGAAAGCATGCTGATGGTTACTCTGTCATGAAGCCGTTTCACGAAACTGGTACAGCTGTCTGTTCACAATGTGCTGTTGAATGGGAGCTAGTAAGCTGAGCCTCCTAAATAAGAGTGACAGACGGCTGTTTCATTTCTACATGGATTAGAATTTCTATCGCTTAAAATTGAGTTGAAAAGATCCTGCTACTCGTGTAAACCGCATATTTCACAAACTTTTGCAGAGATAACATAGAGAGTCGTGTTGAACAGGAGAGCCATGTTGCCTTTGCCTCCTGCCTCCCTTAGCACCTTAACTTGTTCCAGTCAGAAGATGGAATATCTGTTCGTACGTTGCTTATTGTGGACTAAACTCTTATGACAAAAGGTTCAACACAAAGAGTAATCCGAAAAGTAGTACAGTACGATACCTTCGTCTCGGTCTGTCTGTCGCAGATTTTGGGGGTTCGCTCTTTGTGTTTTCGGAGATTACTCTGACGCTGGCGTTACTGTGCATCTGACTTTGTCACAAAGTTTAAAATCAATTTTTCGGTCTCTGCTGCATCTCAACCGGCAGCCGAACTATCGGTTGTAACCCAAGGTCTTAAGTCAAATATTCATCACCATCAACATCACCGTAGGAACTGCAGCAGACTCCCAGGCGAGGCAAACTGAACCTCGGTAACTTGTCATCCTTAGTCATCCCTTAATCATGGTTTCTTATTAAGGAGCTTCAGCGATGTTTAGATTTATCTTGTGTCTAAGCAGCTTATTTTTAGTCTCACTGACAAATCGTATTAAAACTTATGTTTGGTTCATTAACATTCGAACATGAGAAGGGAGCTGGGATGTGTTTAAAAAGTGTAACGAAATTTACAGTTGGTTAGAGTTTGAAAAGCTGCAAATCCGCATTCATAATTGCAGTTTCAGAAACATACAAGAAATTCGATCGAAGGACACAGCGCCAGAAAGCTAACGCAGAATTGTACTCTCGTCATAGTGGGCCATATATATGTGATAACAAAGGATAATACTGAATTCAGTGGGATGAAGGGAAGCAGTGACCTAGCGATGAACTCCGTGTCAACTACATATCACAAACTGTGTTCTCTTTTTTAAGTCAATTTTGAAGTACATCAATGTTTACACTGCCTTTTTTCATTTTAAATAAGACCGGTGAGAATGGCCAACCTTGAAACATCTCTTTGCGTATGGGCAACTAAGATATCCTTTGGATGGCAACGTTGGGGTGTTTGAAACAGTCAAATGATGATGATCGAAAATCACATGCTCTGCAAAGTTTGTCATGATATTCTGTACAACAGCGTTATACAGAAGCTGAAAAGTTCGTACATTCATCCATGTATAAGTACAGTTGTTTATCAAATTTCTTCATTTTTTCTAAAGCTGTGTTTTGAAAGTTTTCTTTTTTCTGTCCTCATCTGTTCCGGTGTCTTTCTAAAAATAAGCATTGGAATCGTTCTTACGTGAGAGTCTACGTTACTGTTTTGATCTGAAATACGAAAGTTAGATCGATTATTGAGATCGGATTTTTGAGCAGCTGAGTACGTTCGGAGTGCTTTCAATTTTTAAGCGAGGTTACCTTGCATTTTGCCTTAAAGCAGATTTGATGAAAAGCGTTGATCACCGCGTAATTTTGCATTTTCAGTGATCATAAACTTGGAAGAATATTAGAAATTCCCTTTTCCCATTATAATTACTCTGGAATTGATGGTCTGCGAAACTCATCGCCCTTGTTTCCGTTCGTATGCTGTTTCAGGTAGTTTCCTAGGTCATATCTGTTCGTGCTTGCTTGACGCTTAAAAACATGACGGTCAATTTTTTATATTTAGGATAACTTGCTCTCAAGTTTGAATAACTTGCTGACTATCAACCTCAGTAGAAACGACTTCACTGCATTTCCACAAGGTGGCTCGGTGCAGTTCATTTCCGTCACGGTATATCTTGTTCACTTCTGAGTTGCAATTACTATTATGATATTTTTGATGTGTAGAACATTAATATGGAACACAATCAGATCAACAAAGTACCTTTCGCAATATTCTCTCGTGCCACCAAGTTGGGCAAACTGAATCTGAAAGAAAACGAGCTGACATCGTTGCCCTTAGGTCTGTTTCAATAGAAACAGCGCTGTTCCGTCGTCAGCAACTGAATCTTAATTTCAGATGTTAGTTCATGGCACAGCATGGTCGAATTGAACCTGAGCACGAATCAGTTAAAATTTCTTCCTGATGATATCGACCAACTGCAGAACCTCGAAGTGCTCATCGTCAGCAACAATTTCCTCAAGGTATCTGCAAAAAAGTCTTTTTCATTCGTTTCAGTTTTTACACTGATTTTTTCAGCGTTTACCTTCGAGCGTCGGAAACATGAAAAAACTGAAGGAGCTTGACCTGGAAGAAAACGAGCTGGAGACGCTGCCAAACGAAATCGGGTTTTTGTCAAGTTTGGTTAAGCTGTCGCTGCAGTCGAACAAGTTGACATATCTTCCACGGACTATCGGGTAAGCATTACTGTGGGCAAACGGGTCTTTTTCTCACGTGTCTGTTGTCTTTCAGCAACCTGGTGAATCTTGTTGATCTGCGAGTGGGCGAGAACAACTTAACGTGTTTGCCAGAGGAAATCGGTTTGGACTCGCTGCCCGTAACTATGAGGTCATTCTTTATTGCACTCTTTAAGGTACTCTTGAAAATTTGAAAACTCTCTACATGAACGACAATTCTTCGCTGCATACCCTGCCTTTCGAACTGGCCCTCTGTTCGTCGCTCGAAATTATGAGCATTGAAAATTGTCCTCTGTCCCAGATTCCGCCGGAAATCACTGCCGGTGGCCCATCTCTAGTTATTCAGGTATGAACGATATTTGTGCCAATAAATGTTCGACCAGTGCTTACCTTTGCTTTCTTAGTTCTTGAAGATGCAAGGGCCTTATCGGACAGTTCTGTGATGTTAGTGCCAGTCGATCGGTTGGTCAGTTGTTCGTGATGGGATTTTTATCGCCTTCACGACGGCTGACACGCAACGAATCGGAAGTCGCCATTATGATTTCCATTGCGCCATCCACCGTATCTGGCAGTCATCGTTCACTTCTCTGCTGCTGTTCCTGAAGCGTCCATTTGTTGTGCTGTTTTATCCAGTAAAGCGCCTTTAGTTGCGAAATGAGTGTCGGTGCTGTCAAGGAGCGACACACCGACCTGTGAGAATGACCACCATTTTCCGGCTCGATTTGCTACTTCTTCAGCAGCCTTTGACTCCCACAAACAGACGGAAGCAGAAGATAACAAGATTGCGATGCGATGCGATGCGAAAGATGCGAAACTGTTTGGCACTGAAATGATTCTGCTAATAACCTCAGTTATTTGTTTGAATGTTCTTATGAAGCAACCGTGTTCAAAATATCCCTTTCCCAGTTCTGTACGTGAGTTATGTTTTGTTGCTCCTTTCTACCTTTCACAATAGATGATGCAATTGCTGCACATCAGTTGAAAATAACTTTTTTACTCCTAATCTGATGTAAACCTTAATAGTATGTCTGCACTCAGTTTTTCAGTTGTAAATGATGCTGATGATAATCCACGTAATTCAAATGTACAATATAAAATCAGTTACGATCATAAAGATTCATCACTTGGTCAGTAGATTAAACTAAGGTATTATAAATGAACATTTCTTTACGCGTTTAAATACTTCGAGTTTTGAAAGAAGCAAATATTATGATACGTTTCTCAATCATATTTCAGTCCCTTACCATTTTGAGTACATTAAAATTTACAACACATGGAACTGAAGGTGCTTGTTCTCAGAATAAAACGTGCTATCTTCAAGACGCGATAGAAAATATGTCTTCTCGTAAGACAGGTTATCAACTGCTTTACGACATATATAGAAAGACTTGACAACTGTGATCGATGAACATTAAAGGAACGAAAAAATGCGTTTAGTTAAGATACAAATGGAAGAATATAGATAGTAAAGATTTAAGTTTCACGGATTCATTTTTCTTCATGCAATGTGGTCTAAATTCGTGACGTCATTCTCATATGAGGTGATCTGAATGAATGTGCAGATTAGTAACAGAAGGCTCGTCGTGTTAGACATTGGAAAAGCATAAACCATTTACCTAAGACCATGAACTCATCCTATGGGAACTAAAACTCGGTGGTCATCAACCAGCAGGACAGAGTGCAACGCTGAGGAACGACCTAAAGGCAGATGTGGTGTCGAAGACAAAAGTTTTCTTTGATACAGGAACCGGTCCCATAAGGACAACACTGTTGCAAAGCTATAAATGCTGCGAACATCGCAAGCCAGACGCGCTTTGCTTATGCAAATGGCTCAAGGATACGATCAAAAGAAAACGACGATGCAATTTTGAAATATCATAAACAGCATAATAGCGAAAGTCATTTAAGACTCTCAACAACCTCGTTGATGTTAGCATCGCTGACTAAAACGCTCTAAGGTATTTACAATTTATCCTAGTTTTGTAACGAAAGATCAAAACGACGTTAGGCGAATCAACATTGCAGATTATAGACAACTTAACAGAGATGATGCAAGAAGAATCGCGTAAGAGAGAAGGCTGTCGCATGGAACAAGATATCATGACAAGGGGATAAACGATAACGATGATTTCTTGGTAGAGGTACCAGTTTCTCCCTTTATACTTCACATTATCCAAGTCTTGACACTTATAAGCAGTACAGTTCATCAGTTGTAGCATAAAAAGATAGCTACTGAAGACGAGCCGTTCTTGGCAAAATAAATATAAATAATAAGGTGTGTACTTCATCGCCGCTTCCCCTTTCGGGTCGTGGAGGCAGACGCGTCACACGGGGCTTCCAACAATCCCGATCCTATGCCAGAGTCTGAGCTTCGGCCAAAGACAAATTGAGTCTGGAACAGACTCCTTCTATATATTTGCACCAGGTTAATCTTGTCCGTCCACTGGGACTTCTGCCGGTCAGATTTCCAAGGAACAGTTGCTTAGCTTTCCTTTCTGCAGGTATTTGCAATACCTGCCCAAGCCATTGCAGCTGTGACTTCTCAATCTGGAGAACG